GTCAATGCCTTGTAGTTCCATAGTGTGAGGTTAATCATAGTGTGCTCTATATTTTCAACTTTATGGGCTAAATAATCGAATTTCTGCTTAGCTTAACCACCGCCGACAGTTCGACTATTACAATAGATATCGCTTTTTGGCCTGTGAATCGAAGGGTAGAAGCCAAGGAATAAATGAAGGGGACTTATATTTCACAGTTCAAAAGAGCTATGACGAATAGGATGAAATGAATGAAAAATAAGCAGCGAAGATTAAGCAAAGAGTTCGGGAAAGAGGGCATCCCAGATATCCTACCACCTACCAAATTTTACCTTTGGTTAACAAACTCACAAGGAGGTTTCTAACAGGCCCACAAGCAGGAGTCAAAGTCAACCTATAGGTAATCACCATTGTCCTGATCCCCTAACAAGACGCCTGGTGAGCCGACAATCTCGTTCCTCTCTTCCAAGGTTTCAATAGAGGCTCATTGCGGAAATGTTACGAGCCATGAGGCCATCTGCTACCAATCTCATGTGCGACATAAATGAGACATACTTGAGATAAATTGTCACGAACCAAAAACAGATGTATTCATTTAATCACTAAATATAGCTGCAGCACAAATTCAGTGGAGATTTACGAATCGCAAAAAAATTGGCAAGTATGTCTTGACCATATGGAAATGTACCCCACTTCCTGAGAAGTTACTACCAATACCAGGAAGTTTTCACAAATCAGATTAAACAATAGAGTAATTTTTAGGAATTAAAAGAAGAAGTCGTGTGAACACTTCTCTTCGGTCTGTAGCATAGACCCCCAGAGGACAATAACAACTGTGGCGTTCCCGTGCACAGGAACCAACCGAAAGTAATTGCTCGGGTCAGGAAATCCGGACACGCGAAACGAGAAGATCACAAGATCCGGTGGTTGGTTACAGAACTTTGAGGGCAGGGTCTCGAATTTCTGGTCAGAATTGAGCCTTTTCCCGAGAAAAATACTGTGGTACTTAAAGGCACAACCCAGGCAGAGGTCGTGTGAACGCTTCTCTTCGGTCTGTAGTATAGACCCCTAGAGGACAATCACAAATGTGGCGTTCCGTGCACGGAAACCAACCGACAAGAGCGCTTGGGCCTTGCAAAGTAAGCTGCCCAAGCTGCAGATTTTTTCTCTTATCAGGCTGTTGTCTGGCCTCTCATCTGTAGCGCTCTCTCGCCCATACTCTCCTCTCCGCGCTTAGTCTCTCATTCCCTTAGCACAGCCGATTAGGAAGGTGAGTGAGCCCTTAACCTAAGCGTTTTCGACGGATTCTTTTCCTTTTTTCTTTACTGCCGGCCCACTTCGCACCAATACATTCGCATTCGTGTGCAAGAGCCACACCAATGTGATCCTGGGGCATGCCTTTAAGTTTCGTGGTCATCATAAATGAAAAGAAAGGGTCGAACCGAGTTCTGCTGCAAAAGTTTCGCATGGGAACAGTGTAGATCAAATGGGTAAACCTCGCTGCTGGTAAGCTAGCGGCTCGGTATTGTGCCCATTTTGTATTTTAAGGATCCGCATTTAAAATTCAGATTTCTCATCCCAATTTCTATGACTTTTAATAGTATGAATCATGATTGTAATGACTAAAAAAGAGAGAAAAAGGCTATAAGTTGGCTGAATAAAGGCCTATGATCTAAAGAACTGATGTAAAGACTAGTGCATAAAATGATGCTACATGATTCTGCAACCCTCCTTTTGAGCTTGAATCCGTCGAGGGACAGCGCGAGAGGTTAGATTTTGTTAGCGGCCATTCATCCTCCTAATTGATTCAATTAAATGCTTAGAGTGGACAGACGCCTAATAGGAAGAAATGACTCTGCCCTACCCTGTTCATGTGGTCTATTCATTGGCAAATGTCACAGACAGAAAAGAAGTTCCATTAATCTTGTTGGACAATGCGGAGAGGATTGCCTATGAATGCTGTGACATGATTGATTGCCACAGCGAAATCCATCAAATCTCCGGTGGGTCAAATGATTTAAAATCACCCATTGCACAAAATTCTATTTCAGACCTCCAACTGGGTAATATAGATAATTCAACATTCATGCAGGTTTATAGCCCTTCTCAAGGTTGCTAGTTTCTCAACGCATACTCGCGAAATAAATAAATAATGGATACTGTGCGTACCTCCCTTAGTGATACAATGTGTCACCCAAAAATACAGAATCGTCAAAAAAGAAATTGCTGAAGACGTCTTTTGGCATTACTCCCGTAATATGGGGGGGCGGGGGGATTTCCGATATATTTGGCAACACATTACATAAATGTTGATTTTCAATGCAAAGCGCAGAGCGAGGATATGCAATCCCGTAAATAAGCAATGATTTGTTTTTGAAATTCACAAAAGTGGCATATTTCGGGGTAGCTTTCCCGTTTTTTGATTTGAGATTATTTCATATTATTCTTTTTGTTAAGAGCGTAGCGGAAAGTTACATTTCCACTTCGTGAAAATACGGCATTTTTTTTGTTGAACTGTTAAGATAGGTGGAATTTTGTGATCTCAGAAAAATGGGGAAATAATCGTTAAAGCGAGATAAAAGGCTAATTTCAATTATTCTCTGTATATGTTGTGAGGATATAAAAGGATTTTGAGTAAAAGGAAAATCAGATGTGAAAAGTTTTGTATCGTAACTGGTACTAACATATCAAAAAATGATCAGAAAAATATCAGTTTAAAGCCACAACGCAGCCCAGGCGAACTGGTGTGAACGGCTTCTTCAGGTCTGTAGGATAGACCCTAGAGGGAATCACAGATGTGGCGTTCCCGTGCACGGAAATCAACCGACAAGAGCGCTAGGGCCTTGCAAAGTAAGCTGCTGCAGCTGCAATTTTTTCTTTTATCAGGCTGTTGTCTGGCGCCCTCTCATCTGTAGC